ATTCTTGCGTCCCTGAAACTCGTGGGGCAATGTCATAAATGACAAATCCGTTTCAGAGGCAACTTGGGTCCTGAGGTGGGTTTGAAAACTATATTCTGAAACTTATCCTGAAATTCCTCTTATTTTACAAACCATACTTAAATTCTTTTCTCAACTTCCCAAAAATTAGTTCTCAACTGACTTGAAATTTACACTACATAATGTTGTGAACTAGTATCCATAATTCTGCATCTTCCCCTACTGAGTGTATATATATATATATATATATATATATATATATATATATATTAACACAAGTGATAATTTAGTTTAATCTAATCTAATCTACACGGAGGGGAATTCGAACTTGATTGGGGAGCAGATCCGCTCTAGCCAACATATATTTTGTTTTCTAAAAGGAATAAGAGGAGTTTTTATCAAAAATAGCCAAAATTACCCCTACTTTCATAAATGTCAATTTTTATAAAATCTTTCTGTTATAGTTAAAAATCCACTTGAATAGACTTAAATACCCTAAAAATAAATACATAATTGCTTTCCCATCGCTTCTCTCTGATAGATGTTGGTTGGCCAAACTAATTAAAGGAGGTTCGTGTGGTGCTTTATCAAGGTGCCATTCATGATGTGTAATGAATTCAGATTTGCGTTGTTGAATCCTCAAGTTCATCTTTGTCATGCAAAGTTTCTCAAAACATGAAAGGATGCTCTAGACGTTTTTTTTTTCGAAGAAGATATATCATTAAATTCGTACACCCTGTGCAAGAACATTAAAGAAGCATGATGGATTATTCTAGCCAAAAAAAACAAAAACAAAACAAAAGAAAAAAGAACTATGCTGCAGACCCACCCCATAAACGCAGAAAAGGAAGAACAACACTCACAAGGAGTTCCACTAGGGCTGTAGACGTAGTAACAAAAAATTCAAATTTTTATCTAATAGGGTTTTTCTTTTTAGGTTTATATGAGTTTTAGTTTTGAGGGCATTTAAGTCTATTCAAGTAGATTTTTGGTTATAATTGAAAGTTTTTATAAAAATTGACATTGACTAGAAGTCTTTTAATTTTTTTTATTATTTTTTTGTGAAGATTGACTAGAAGTCTACACACGTATAGCTAGGAATAATTTCCGCGCAAATTCATGTGCACAAATCAACGAAATATGTAACCTACTTAAGTCAATCCATGTTCCTTTTTTGGGAGCTATATAAAGTTTGATATACGTACATCAATTTGGACTGCAAAAATCAAACTCTGCAAATCAGTTTGATAAATAATGAATATCATATCCATTGTTCTGTTGTTATGGCACATAATAATACTAAGTTGTTGCTATGGAGCTGCAACAACTAGTGCAGCATCATGGCCAATAGCAAAGCCTAATTGCACAACGCATTGTGGAGATGTTGCCATCCCATACCCTTTCGGGATTGGACCTAGCAAAGATTGTTACTTGGATAAATGGTTTCAAATAGACTGCAGGCACAACAACTCTACAACCTCAGCTAATTACAGCAGGCAAGTGCCTTTCCTCAAGAGCGTCAACCTGGAGCTGCTAAGTATTTTTCCGTTTGAAGATCGCAGAAAATCGGTTCGGGTTAAGAACCCTATTACTTTCTTCAGCTGCGAGGGAAAGGAAACTCGCCAACCCCAGAATTTGAAGGCCAGTCCTTTCTTTTACGCTCGGACATACAACATATTCATTGCAGTGAGTTGTGACCTCTTTGCCACTGTGAACTCCGATAATGCGATTGTCGCTGGTTGCGTGTCGATTTGTCAAAACAATACAAACGGCGACAATGGAAACTGCTATGAAGGTATTGGCTGTTGCATATCTAGTCAGTATGCATATGAACTCATGACCAATTTTAGTATTGAGATATCATCAAATTCATCAAAAATGTCAGATCCAATGGGCGATTGCAAGTACGCATTTTTGGTTGAGGAAGATTGGTTTGCGAATAACTTAACGAATTTTCAAGACCTGAAGGATATGGGCAGCGTTCCTGTGGTGCTAGATTGGATGTTAAACGAACATGACTATGCTGAAAGATTCAGAGAAAAACCAGACCTGACTGGTAACCAATCAACACCCAGTTGCAACAGCAATAGTGATTTGACTTATCGGTACAATCGGGGCTCGATCATTTGTAGATGTCCGCCGGGCACGGAAGGAAATCCTTATCTTCTCCAACCTTGTCAAGGTACGCAAACTGAATCTCTTCTTTCTGGATATAGATTGATCCTTGATTTCTAATCTCAGTGGTCTATTATAAAAATGTAAAAGGTATTTACCCTTGGAAAGAAACTAAGAGAGGGCCCGAATGGAAAAGATTATGTAGAAAGCTTTTATTGAAATCGCTTTTGTTAAGTATTAAAGTGCCCAAAGCCCAAAAGAGATGAGTGGATCAGTTACTTTAATGAATAGATGTGGCCCAAAGCCTCATTAGGTATTTTACACGAGTTGAAATGGCATCTAAAACATGTCATCAGACAAAATCCTGTCCTCTTATTAGCCATGTATCACTATTAATTTTCTCCTCACCATCCCCAGGTTTCTATTATATCTGTATCGAAGAAGAACGTAAAATCACACATCGAAAACTTAGAAAAAAGTACAACATATATAACTAGTACTGGAAAGTTTAATTAGGATTAATTATCTTTTCACCTATTAATTATCTTATATGTGTGAGTTTGGACTGAAGCATATCTCGGGTCATCATCATTTCAGATATTGATGAATGCAAAGGCAGTAATGAGTGTCGAGGCGATGTATGTGAGAATTTGGTTGGGGGTTATAGCTGCTACTCAATTATAGATGGCCGGAGATGTACGTATTTCGGTACGTATACCAATATTACCTGTGATGATGACTTCAGAACCACATCGGATCGGGCGTCTGAAAGTGAAATCAAAACTACTATTATTTTAGGTATATAGTACTCCTATCTTCTTACATCTCTCAAAATAAAAATATATGTATCTTTCACCACGGTGATATTATTCAAAAGTTTTTTTTGGTTACAATGTTGTTCTAAATGTTTTTGGCTTGGACAATGGTTTATTCAATTATTTTCGTGTTTAGAAATGATAATGGATATAATTCAATACCTATTGATGCAGGTCTTGGCTCCAGTGTTGGGCTAGTGTTACTACTCATTGGTGCACGGTGGGTACACAAAATCGTGAAGAAAAGGAAAACCACTGCATCCAAGAAAATATTTTTCAAACGAAATGGTGGTTTATTGTTACAGCAACAGTTATCGTCAGGCAAAGTTAATGTTGACAAAATCAAGTTATTCAATTCAAAAGAATTAGAAAAGGCCACCGACAATTTTAGTATTGATAGAATTCTTGGTCAGGGAGGTCAAGGTACCGTTTACAAAGGCATGTTGGCGGATGGAACAATTGTTGCGATAAAGAAGTCCAAAATGGTGGACACAAGCAAACTCTCGGAATTCATCAATGAGGTTGTAATTCTTTCTCAACTCAACCACAGAAATGTGGTTCAAATTATGGGTTGTTGTTTAGAGACCCAAGTTCCACTTTTGGTCTACGGATTCATACCGAATGGAACTCTTTCTCAATATATCCAAGACCAGATTGAGGAATTCCCACTCACATGGGACATGCGGTTGCAAATTGCCACAGAAGTTGCAGGAGCTCTTTCGTACTTACATGGAGCAGCTTCGGTTCCCATTTATCACAGAGACATCAAGTCTGCCAACATACTTTTGGATAGAAAATACAGAGCAAAAATTGCTGATTTTGGAACTTCAAGATCAATTTCCATTGACCAAACTCATCTAACCACACGTGTACATGGAACATTTGGTTACTTGGACCCAGAGTACTTTCAATCAAGCCAATTTACGGAGAAAAGTGACGTCTATAGCTTCGGAGTGGTCCTAGTTGAGCTCTTGACGGGGCAAAAACCAATTTCTGCAGTAACAGGGTCAGAAGAAGAAGAATACAGAAGTCTTGCCACATATTTCATTAACTCGATGCAAGAAGATCGTCTGTTTAACATTGTTGATGCTCGAGTTCTGAAGGAGGGATCTGAAACCGAAATCCAGGTAGTCGCTAACCTTGCAAGGAGATGCTTGAATTTTAACGGAAGAAACCGTCCTGCAATGAGAGAGGTTACATCAGAGCTAGAGGCTGTACAAATGTCAAGGAAACCTTCCATTAGTGCTGATCAGCAAAATTCTGAAGGGGTTGATTTTGTGGAAGATGATTCAGTTGGGCATTGGGATGTTGAATCACTTTCAGAAGTGTCGGCTAGCTACTAAAAACATGGGTTTATGCCATTGTTGCCATCTACAAGTTATGGTGAATTCCTTTTAATTGAATAAACTTTGTTTCATTTAATGTTGTCGAACACATATGTTATGTTTTTCTTATGATCTCGTTATTTCAACACTTCCTTGTACTTGGGAAAAAAAAGAGAAGAAGCTTAATTTCGTGTATAAACCAAATTTCCAGCTATTTCCTAATTTAAAGTAAAAACCAATCAAGGATTATAATATTAGCTGAAATTGTATTTATACAAGTCTTATTATTATAAGAAACAGAACTCAAGGGGAGAGGGGAGATGAGAGATAGAGGAGAAGAGTAATTGAATCAACCAAGATGATTTTGGTCTCTGTATTACAGCCGTATATAATATACAGAGAGTAGACTTTCTCAAATCTATTTACAGAAAGAAGCAATACATGGTAAGTACAATAATCTCATATATGTTATGAATCAATTCTAGCTAATATGCTGTTGGTCTTGGGAGGAAGAATATGTCAAGTCTGATTTGGGGGAATCAACTGATTTCCTGGGATTAACTGGAGTGATATTCTCTTTACCCTCCCTCAAGCGTAGTGGAGCAACGCGGAGATTAAGCTTGGATTTAAGAAGTGAAAACCAATCACGACTGAGACCTTTAGTAAATACGTCAGCAAGCTGATGAGAGGAGGGAACATAGGAGGTACGAAGAGCCTTCCGAGCAACTAATTCGCGAACAAAGTGGTAGTCGATCTCGATATGCCGGGTGCGAGCATGGAAAATAGGGTTGGCAGCCATATAGAGAGCAGAGAGATTGTCAACATATATGCAGGGGGCAGAGCGAAGGGAAATGCCCAGTTCACGAAACAAGTAACCAAACCAGCGAAGTTCAGCTGCAGTATGGGCAAGAGCCCTATATTCAGCTTCAGTACTAGAGTGAGAAACAGTAGACTGTTTCTTGGCAGTCCATGTGAGAAGATTAGGGCCAAGGAAAACACAAGCACCAGTAGTAGACCGGCGATCATCAACGGAACAAGCCCAATCAGCGTCAGAAAAACTCCGTAAGGAAAAATCATTGGACTTATGGAAGATAAGACCTTGCTCAAGGGTACCTTTAATGTACCGAAAAATGCGCTTGACAACTTGAAGATGGGAGGTGTGAGGGTTGTGCATAAATTGGCACACCTGGTTGACAGCAAAGGAAATATCAGGTCTGGACAAGGTAAGATACTGGAGGCCACCCACCATACTCGGATAGGTGGACGGATCAGGCAAGGGATCACCATCCAGATAAGAGAGCCGAGTGTCAGAGGGCAAAGGGGTTGGAGATGGTTTGCATTCAGTCAAATGAAACCGGGTCAATAAATCCACTGCATAGCGAGTTTGAGAGAGAAATAAATGGTCAGAAAACTGATTAATTTCCATGCCAAGGAAGAAGTTGAGCTCACCCATACGTCGGCTGTCAAAAGTGGAACATAAATGATCAATGAAGTGGTTTACACTTGGTGAGGGAGAGCCAGTAACAATGATGTCGTCCACATACACTAGAACATACACCGTGCAGGAAGAGGAGCGACGAATAAAGAGCGATGTATCAGAGTGACTGTGAACAAATTGCTGGGCAAGAAGAAAAGCACTAACGCGTTGGAACCAAGCTCGAGGTGCCTGCTGAATGCCATACAGAGCCTTGTGGAGCCGACAAACATACTGAGGGTGAGAGGGATCATGAAAGCCAGGGGGTTGTTTCATGTAGACCTCCTCTTGCAAGTACCCATTCAAGAAGGCATTACGAACATCCAATTGCTAAAGAGGCCAATTGTAGGAAAGTGCCATAGACAATATAGTGCGAATGGTAGCCGGTTTGACCACCGGGCTAAATGTTTCCGCATAATCAAAGCCTTCCTTCTTATTGAATCCCTTGGCAACAAGACGAGCCTTGTATCTGTCAACCGAGCTATCCACCTTCCGTTTAACTTTGAAGACCCACTTGCACCCCACAATATTCATGCGGGAGGTGGCAGGGACTAAGGACCAGGTCTGGTTCTTCATGAGGGCAGCATATTCATCTTGCATAGCATCGCGCCAGTGGCTGTGTTTGGAAGCATGGGTAAAGCTGGTAGGTTCAAGGGACATGGGATCAGAAGCTTCAACAAAAAGGGCAAGGGGTAAAGGATGAGGGCGGGTTTTAGAGTAGAGGGGTTTGGGTTCTGGACCAAATGGGACAATGGTTTGGAGACTCTTGAATTTTTTTGGAGGATTAGGTGTATCTGGAGAGTTGGGAAAAATCGATGGATCAAGAGGTGAAGAAGTGGGAGGTGGGGTAGGGGGTGGGGTTGTTTCGTCAGAGTCGGAAGATAGGTCTGGGGAAATTGAGTGCGGGTCTGTGGAAAGGGGCGGTGAGGTTTCTGCGGAAGGGGGCGACGAAGGGGGGATGCTGGATACCAGAGGAGGATCAGCTGGGTTCGTGGGCAGTAATGTTGGGGATAAAGAAGAGGACATAGGGGAGAACAAGGGGATGCCGAAGGAATTGGGTGAGCTGATAGGGCCAGAAGAAATAGGAGGAAGTGATGGGCCTGCGGGATTAAGAGATGAGGGGTATGTGGGAGATTTGAGGGAGGTAGAGTCTGTAATGAGAGTGGGTGAAGGAGAAGGGCTAACCAGAGAGTCAGAAGGCCCAAGAGATGTGGGCTGGTCGGCATGAGAGAGAGGTTGAAGCCCATTTGAGTGCAAAGGAGATGTAAGCTGGGGCTGCCTATAAGGGAAGGTTGTTTCATCAAAGGTCACATTCCGAGGTGTGTAGATGAGACCTGAAAAAGGATCAAGACAGCGATAACCCTTATAGTGATCATCATAGCCAAGAAATACACATGGAAGATATTTAAAGGATAACTTATGCTTGTTGTATGGCACCAAGTGAGGAAAGCAAGCACATCCAAAACTTTTGAGAAATTTGTAATCTGGTGAACAGTGAAGGAGCTTCTCATAGGGAGACAGGTTATCAAGCTGCGGTGTTGGTAAGCGATTGATCAGAAAAACTGTAGTGGAGAAAGCTTCAACCCAAAAGCTAAGAGGCAATCGGGATTGGGCTAGCAGACAGAGACCCATTGCAACAATATGGTGATGTTTCCTTTCCACCACTCCATTTTGTTGGGGAGTGTAAGGACAAGAAATTTGATGCGATATGCCATGATCACGTAAAAATGTGAGGAATAATTTGTTGATAAATTCACCACCACCATCAACCTGCAACTGCTTGATTTTAGAACTAAACAGATTTTCCACCATCTTTTTGAAGGTAATAAATGTAGGAAAGACATCTGATTTCTTAGCCAAGGGTATAACCAAGTGAACCGAGTGTGATCATCAACAATGGACAAATAATAACGGTATCCAAAATTTGAGGAGACTGGCGCGGGCTCTCATACGTCAAGATGTAAAAGTGCTAATGGGGATTGAGCATGAAGCTGTCTGTATTCAAAAGGCAATCTACAAGATTTTCCGAATGGGCAAATATGGCAATTTTTATTTGATATAATAGTACCATTAACAGGTAAATGGTACTTATTCAACAAGGTTGTAAAAACTGAATGAGATGGGTGTCCAAGGCGTGCATGCCACACGTCATGTGTCGTGCGCTCTCCATAGAATGCAAGTTGACGAGCAAGATGTGGGGTTGCCTGAATGTGATAAAGCCCATCAAAACTACTGCCAGTAAGAAGTACTGTCCCCGTCTTGGTGTCCTTTACATGAAAACCATTAGCATCCAACTCAAAGAAACAATCATTATCACGACAAAAACGACGAATAGATATCAAATTCTTTCGTATTGCAGGTACGCATAGCACTTCATTAAGGTTTAAGGACTTATGTAACCCGGTCACTTTAGTGTTGCAAATATGTGTTATTGCTAACTGATTCCCATTGCCAACAACAATTGTATCAGTACTTGTGTAAGGCTGGGCATGTGGTAGAGAAGCGGTGTGGGCGGTCATGTGATGAGTAGCGCCTGAGTCAAGGCACCAATTGAGGTTTGCTATATCAGGAGTAGAAGGAGACGGGTTGGCAGCATTTTCAGCCACGTAGGCATGAGGCTTACGATCTGGACAGAAGCGGGCTATGTGACCAAGTCTATCGCACCGATAACAAATGACTTCTGAGCGCTGGGTATTTGGAGAATTGCCAGGTGGTGTTGGAAGGAGTGGTGGGCGTCCATCCGTAAGGGTTGCGTGAGAAGGAGCAGATGGTGCAATCTGCTGTTCACGAGGCTGAGTGCTGTGTTCTTGTGGCCAATTTCCTTGGGTTGATCTCCACGGATTTGTTCGCCCACTGTGCCCTTGAATCCAATTTCTGCCGCGTCCACGTCCTCGTCCAGATCCGTGATAGGAGTTGTGATGGCAACTAGCGGAGTTTGAATGGGGTTTTCGCTCATTGGGCATTCGATCAGCAGCCATAGCAAAACCTGAGGCCACGTTAAGCGACATGCATTTCTGTAAGTGTTCTTCTCTGAGAGCGAGATCATAAAATTGGTCAAAACCAATATCTGGGTGCAGGTGGAGTGTGGTGGCTAACTCCTTGTATTTAAGCCCAAGTCCATCTAGAACATAGCTAACGAATTCATCATCATCCATTGTTGCACCAGCTTGTGTGAAGGAATCAAGAAGTGATTTGGCATGGTTGAGGTTGTCAGTCACAGTTGTGGTGTTGTCCTTCCTGAGGGTGCGAATTTGGTCTCGAAGGATCCGCACATGGGTACCTGCAAGGGGTGAGAGACGCTTGCCCAGTAGATTCCAAGCCTAATAGGCGGTGGTACACGTGATGAGAAGAATCTTGATGGAAGAAGAGGAAGTCGCCTTGATCCAACTCAGGACTAGTTTGTCTTTGGCGAACTCAGGATGCACAGAGCCATCTTCTTGCACTTTGGGTGGGTCTGTGGTTTTCTTGATGACCTCTGCAAGGCTATGCATCTCCAATACGTCTTCAAATTGTGATTTCCAACTCAAATAGTAGGTTCTGTCCATGGGAATGGGGA